TGGAGTAGGAGGAAGCCTAGTTGTTTTCGCTGATGCTGTAACAGATGTCAAAGCTGCTGTAATTGTCAGTGGGTAGGGAGTTGATGTTTTGGTGATTTCTGAGCTTGTGATTTTCATGGTGTTAGGTACTGTTGTTTCTATCTGTCTTGGTGCATGTGTTGTGGATGCTAGTGTGGAACCTGTGACTCTGCTAACTTTAGAGGTTAGAAATATAGTAGCAGTGCGTGGGGGTGACATAGATGTGTTTCTTGGTGCAAATGGAAAGCCTGTGTGTGTTGCTACTGAGTTTAGAATCGATGTCATTTTTGTGGCAGTGTTGTTTTTTGCAAGTGTTGATATCAGTGTGCTTAATGCCATCACAGATGGCAGGGGTGTGTTTTCAGTGCCTAGAGAAAACAAGGATGAAGTTGGCACTGATGAAGTTGGAGCTGATTCTCCTGTAAATGGTTTTGCTTCTGAAGTTCCTACTGTAGGTATTGCACCAGGAGACACTGAAGATAACACTGAAATGACAGAATGGGTAAAGTTGGTTGTTGACAAAAAAGCAGAAGTTAGTGGTGTTGGTGATTCATGGACAGAAGTTATGATGATTGACTGCAAAGCATTGGTGGTAGGTGTTTGCAATGGGGTGCCCTCAGTAACTTCATTAGGTACAGGAACTGTAACTAGATTGTTACTTGTACCATTTGTATGCCATGCCTCTTTACTAAATATAGTTGGATTTTGGACAATAGTCGTCAACTGGCTAGATGGTTCTGAAACAGAGCTATTTGTAAAGTCCCTCTGATTTCCAGGAGTCATGTATTCTTCTGTAATAAGACTCGATATCAATGCTGAGCTTGAGGATGATTTGACTACTAGAGAGGGAGAAACTGTTGGTTGTGTATCACTGATAACTATTTCATTATCAGATGAAACAGTCCAGTTGCCAGTAAATTGAGAAGCCAGTCCGAGTTCAGATGGTGTTGAATATAAAGTATTTGTTGAAGAGACTTTTTGAGCATTAGCTGTATCAGAACTCAGCATGCTAGAAACAGTGCTCGTATCATTAGCTGCAAAATCCTTAGCTGCTGGCACAAACACATGCACTGATGTTTCAGATTTTGAGGTGAAATTAACATCCCTGCTGGTAAACAATTTAGTGACATTTTGAGGTGTGTTGATATGCTTTTCTGACTGAGCTGCAGGTATTACCGTAGTGGGGGAAGGGGATGAATATTGAACAGTAGACATTTCCAAAGCAGATGAATACAGGTTAAAGTTTGTGAAATTTTTAGTCTTAATTCCAATAACAGGTGAAACTGAAGAATTATGAGTCAATGTTGCAGAGGTATAGATTGCTGAAGTCAGAGAGAGGGTTGTTTGTTTGCTCCTAATATTATTTATTTGCTGTTGTAGATGTGAGATTGCTGAATCTATGCCATGATAATCAGTTTCTAATGAAGAAGTGCTTGGAATAACTTCTGTTATTGCCATTTTGGCTGCTTCTTTTGTTGAAGAACCACTAGAAATCAAGGCTGTAAGGGACCATTTAGAAGCTAAAGCTGAGGCTTTTGGAGATTTTGTAATATCTAAACTGTTTTCTGGGACAGCAATTGAAATAGAGACGGTTGAGGCTTTGCTGAGTGTAGTTTCTGTCACTGGAACATATGGCGACAATTTATAGAGTTCTGAGGACACAATAGGAGTAAATGGATTTGAATAACTTGCATTTGAAAACTGACCACTGGTAACTTCAGATTTATTTAAGGGTGGTAGATGTAAATATCCTGTACGTGGAGTGACAATGGTAGATGCTTCCACATTGCTTTCTTCATTATCTATTAAATCTGCCAGACTTTGTCCATTAGGACTTGAAACCTGTGAAGTTTTAGAATTATGAAGAGCAGATGTATTTATGATAGCATGTATAAATTTTGAAAAGCCTGCAGCAGAAGTGGCCAATGATGTAACAGGTGTAACAGGACTCGTGCTTTCTGTTTGCAAAATTCTTTCAGGCGTTGTTGTCCCTGCGGTGTGTTCGCTGGCAGGCGATGCTGAAGGAGGTCTGGAGTATTGAGAATCATATGGCAGGACATGGTTAGCTTTCATGTTGGTGTATATTTTGGCTACAGTATCTCTTGTAAAAGATCGATAGGCTGCTGCTCTCCCTGAAGAACCATCAGAAAGTTGTGGTGGTTCAAACTCAGTTGGTAGCATGGCATTAGCTTCAGGAGCTGCCTGAGTTACCTCCTTTGAAAAAACCTGATTGGCTGACATTGTTGAATGAGGTAATGAAATATTTACTAGTGAAAACATCAATGTGTTCTCATAATTTGTAGCATTGTTAATAAGTGCTGTAATATTAGAGGTCTGATTTGCCTCAGTTATTAAGGAAGTCATTGTATCTGTTGAATAGGGGAGTGTGGCATTTTTAACAAGAAAATCTGATTCATTTGCTGGTGCTGGAACTACTGCATTGCTAGTGTTTAGTGCATCTGTAAAAAATGTTTTTGGCATTGTGAAGGACGACTTATTTTCTGTTGAATGGGAGACTCCCAATGGACTCACAGAAGCTGGTGATAGAAATACTGGCTTGAGAGAACCTAGCATGTCATTAGTCAATGCTGAGGAAGACTGATGACTTGTCACTTTCAGTAATGTGTGTAGAAGATCCATAGTATGGAGGAATAAAGTATTATTCATGTAAATTTCTGATTTATTCTTAAAGGCTTCTGGTGACACAGATGGACTGATATAATTCTCTTTGTCAGTCACCACTGCTTTGAATGGCTGATTGGAAAGACTTTCTCCAGAAGACAACACATCATCTCTTGAATGTGACAAGGACATTCTTTCAATAGGAAGCCACGATGCACTTTTGGAAGCTACTGGTTGGGAGGATGGATATAACATTACTGATAGAGGAGCAGAAGTGTGTAAAGATAAGAAGGCAGTACTTTCTAAGGGTGACTCTCTTGCCAGTGTCTTTGTCGAATGCACCATCATTGATCCAAAGATATTAAGAGATGTTGTACCTGTAAGCAGTCTGGGCCCTTTTCTTGATAATGTGTGATTCACTGTGCTGGGATTTACAGCAGTGCCCACACTTAGTGAGTTGCCCCTGCTTGCACTAACATGAGAACTACTTGAATCTTTGCTGATGGAACTTTCAGTGTCTGTGGATAAAGGCACTTTGGTGGGTAGCACAGTAGACTTAGCAAAGATAATGGTATGAGGTGATTGTATTGCCAATGAAGAAAATGATGGTGATGGAACAGTTGGAGGAATGTCTGATCCTGGTGTGCTTTCTTTTGAAATGGAGGGTGTATCTAATGATATTAGCTGAGATGGCACAGCCGTAGTTGAATGTGTCACTGATGGTGTTGTGGACAATGTGGCAAACATACTGAGTTGAGGCAAACCTGATACAGCAGCTTTTTCATCTGCATCTTGAGATGATGGTCTAAATGGTGATTCAGCTGAAACTTCAGCAGGTTCCTGGGATGCACTATTACCACTGCCCTGGTAAAGAGCTGGTGAAAAATTGGTTTGATCCATAATTCTGGTACGTGTGCCAGTGAGTGTTGTTTTTATCATCTGAAGCAAGTTTGCATTCTCCCGGGTCTGTCCCATCGAAATGTCAGCCACTGAGGAGGACTTAATATCCATGGAAGGCCATGTTGGTGATAATCTAGATCTCCAGTTGTCAAAAGACTTTGTAGAGGGGGCAACATTTATTTGCTGTTGTTTGGTACCTGTAAAACAATAATTTAAATGAATGTTTTAAAGAAAAAAAAATTGAAAGAGTAACCTTGGTGCACTACACCAGTAAGCATGAATAAGAAATACATAATCCTAGGCAAAGCTAGAGTGAATCACTTCTTCATGTTCAAAGGACACCATAAATCAGAGAAAGTGTAATATATTAATGTAAAAAGTATAATGTAAGATAACATAAACCTCTCAAGTTGTTTCACTGTACTGAAAATTATAAGACAGGCCATGTTTTATAGACAGTGATAATGAAAAATAATTACTGACATTGCTCATAAACCAAGATGACTTAACCTTTTAGAAAGTATCTCGTTGTATTTGAGACTACTCAAAGTTTTTATCAGTCATATTTTGTCAAAACAGTATGTGTGAAGTTTGGGTTTAGAAGCACTGTATAAAGGGAATGGATTCTGACAACCAGGCATCACTGATTTGGCACGCTCTGTGAAATGGGAATAGAATCAGTACTGGCTGGGTTCCTCTACGAAGCATCTGTAGGTGTTTGTCTTGCCAGTTCTGATAATATGTGTAATTATACTCAGAGAAGCAAGACAATATAACAGGGATGAAAATGAAAGGAAGGGGTAGTATTAAAACAAATGAGGAAATCAAACTTTAGCTAGTATGCATACAGATGTATAACACATCATCACTAGCACCAATTTATTTAGCATTCACCACCATAATTCTAGGCTTTTGTTGTCTTAAAATGATGACAGCTAGTTTAAAAAAAATCATAGCTTAGACAACCTTTCAGTCCTTTTTAATTTAAAGATTATGTGTCAGTCAAGATTAATTTTAAAAGGGGTTTCTTTTTTTCCAATGAAATACATCAGCTAAAGCTTAGCAGTGCCATTTGCCATTATAGCATGAGCCAAATGGTGCCCCAGCATACACACCTATGTAGAGGTTTAAGAGGGAGTACTCCCCTCCTCCCTGAACAAGGAGTGAGCAAGGACATTACAGATGTAACACTGAAGGAAGTTTCACAGGTGTGTGTGCATGTGTGCATGCACGTGAGTGTGCAGAACCAGATGTGGCAAGGTGGGGTGGGGGGGTTGCACTGGCGCACTTGCACCCCCTTTCATTCCTGCTTCACCCAAAATTTAAAACCAGTGGCAGCAGCATTTCTAGTCAGATAGGGTGCTGACAGATGTGGAAGAAAGAAAAAAAAACATGCTCTACCGGAAACAGCAAAGGGTTACTTCAATCTGGCTCCACAGCTTTTGTATAGATCAGGGGCTTCATCAGGGTTTCTTGGCACTTTTAGCAAAAGGTAATTCAATCAGCTATTAGGTAAAAGCACCGAAAAAGCCCCTCTAAAGTACCCCATCTCTACAAACATTGGGAAAGCCAGGTGCAACTAACATGCTGCCTCTTCTGGGCGTGTGCTGGGCTTGGCGTGGGAGCGTGCCAAATTTAAAGTAAAGGGCCATTTTGCATTTTTTCTCCACGTCTGCATGAGGGAGTCAACTGATTTCATGGCTCATTATAAGCTATCTGATCCTTTCTACGCTCTTGACTCCAGAACCATTAACCACCCTCTCTTCTTTTTAATGGTCTTGAAGTTTCACAAATCAACATGTCCTTTGTCTTGCAATTCTGCTGTCTGTTCGCTGCTCCTGATAAAGAAGCTCCTATATCACATCCCTGCAGATTGTTTTTAATTCATTCCAATGAAGTTGTATTTGTTTTGCTTCATTCTTAAGCCAACACACCCCTAGGCCCCTAACATATTAGTAAAGCTTCCAGTTTATTTTTAACTGGAGAAAAATGTGTTGTTTCTTTGTGTGATGGTGCACCTCACCATGTGCACCCCTTTTCAAAATTCTAGTTCCTCATGCCCAGGCCAGGCGGGGCTGTCATGGAGCCTCAGCCAGCTGCGAAGGGCCCTTCCTTGCCAGGCCAAGCCAGCTTTCCCTCACCTCCAGCGGCTACTCCCCCTCCCACTCCTGCCCCTGCTGCGCCACTCCAAGAGGGGGGCGGGGGGAAGCTGCAGCGCGGCAGGAGCAGGGACAATAACTGAGGCCCCTAAGAAAAAGCATTGGCAAAAGATGCTTGCACAATAGACAATTTCCATTTGCTGAATACCTAAGTTTACTGTAAGCCAATACCAAACTACATGGGCCTGCTAACATTTCCATAATTAGCATCTGAATTAACAGTACCACCAGAGAGGGATTTCATTTGTACAGGAGTTTTATCACATCAAGAAAATACAAAATTAGTTGCAATCATTACAGTCACAGAACCAGGAGCCAAAGTGAACGGCTACATATCATTAACATATGTGCACGGCAGCAAATATTTGGAATCACGTATATTCACATAGTAATAAATATCTGCATCTCCCGCTTCTAGAATTACACACAGAAACCCTGCTACCTTGAACAGCACTCTGAATGCATTATCAAATGAAGGAAAGCAGCTGAAGGATGAGATGTGAATTTTCAGGATTAACTTCCAGAAAAAAATGGAAATAATTCTAGTAATTCCTAGACTAAGCAGGATTATTCAGCTAATAACATCACTCAATACCAAGAAGAAATGCAGGACAGAACTCTGTGCCTAGAATCTGACTCAGGTTTCCTGCATTACCCAGTGAGGGCCCTGGGCCTTGCACCTATGACTGAATGATTTGCAGGATTAAGTCTGAAGAAAGGCAGGCCAATGGGAAGGCATTAGAAGGAAGGGGAAGCTAGGCAGGCAAAGGGGCCTTGGCATAGTCTGAGTCTTTACCAGTTAGCTAAGGGGTGCCCTGAGTGATCACCATGCCTGACAAGCAAGATACTGGCTGACAATGAAGAGAATGGAGATGTGGGTTGGCAGCAAGCTGTGTGAAAAAGTTTGTATCATAACAAGCACAGTGCAGTGCTTGGGTCTCGGCACTGTTTCTGATGTGTATTTCAGGGCCTTTGGCAGATCACTGGGTACATCTGGCTCAGGCTGTTGGAATGCCATACCAGGGGCTGGCAACTTTTGCTGGCAGGAGTCTAGAATAATCCAGCTGTGATTGGAAACAGGTGGGCATTAGAACCCAGCTGCTGCCACTGCTCCTCCCCGCTGCTTAGCTGTGGCTAACACAAGGGTGGCAAAAGTCCTCCTCAGCCAAAGCCCGGGTGGCCTGACTGTCATGCAGTACAAGGGAACACCCCTCTGTCACAGCCCCAGATGGCCAACTCCAGCACAGCACAGGAAAAGTCCTGCACCGTCAAATGCTGCTGAAGCTACAGCTCCACAGGCTGAAACCAAAGACTCCATGGCCCACAGGTTGCCGTCCCCTGTTCTAAATACTCAAGATGCAGAAATGCACCAAGTGGACATATTTTGCTTCAGCTCATTTTTAGCAGCTTTTTTTTTTTATATAGACTAGTATTAATGATTCCAGTTTTACAAGTCTGTAACATTTAGACAACTGTGTTCTTGTCACGGATGTTGCCAGCCAAGACAACTGTAGTGGCTGCTGGAGGCAAGGAACATGCGTTCTTTAACAGTACATGCTGGTACAACACAAGCTGCCGAATGAGCTTAGAAATCTATTTAGGAGACCAAAAATTTATGTCCAGTTCAGCAAACTACTTAAGTATGAGCATCATTTTAAAACACATGGAAAAGTCCGATTGCTCACCATATAATCTTAACATGCACCTTACTGAATGAGAATGAACTAAATGCATCCTTCAAATAAAGCATGTATTTAAAAGATTTGCTGACCGAGCACCTTAATCCAGGGGTAGCCAATTTACAGCACACGTGCTCCAAGGGGCACAGGAAGCCTCTGTGTGTGGCCTGCAGCAGATTGGGAGGCTTCAGGGCAGCACAGTGGCAGACAGAGCAGGAAGTGGAAAGCAGAGGAGCACAGGTCAGAGGGGAAGCAGCAGATTATGCCTGGGAAGGGGATTAAAGTGGCACTCAGGGGCTAGGGACAGACATTCATAGATTTCATAGACATTAGGGCTGGAACGGACCTCGGAAGATCATCGAGTCCAGCCCCCTGCCCAAAGGGCAGCAAGTCAGCTGGGGTCATAGGATCCCAGCAAGATAAGCATCCAATTTGCTCTTGAAGGTATTCAATGTAGGTGCTTGGACCACCTCCGATGGCAGGCTGTTCCAGACTTTGGGCGCCTGGACAGTAAAGAAATTCTTCATTATGTCCAGCCTGAAATGGTCTTGCAGGAGTTTATGACCGTTCGACCTCGTCATCCTTTGGGGCGCTCTGGTGAACAAACGTTCCCCCAGATCCTGGTGGTCATCCCTGATAAACATATAGGTGGCCATCAGATCACCCCTGAGCCTGCGCTTTTGCAGGCTAAAGAGCCCCATGGCTCTCAGCCTGTCGTCATAAGGTCTGTTTTCCTGACCTCTGATCATGCGCATGGCTCTTCTCTGGACTCTCAAAAAAAAAAAAAAAAGCCTGAGCCTGAATTGATTCAATCTTTGCAGGTTAACCTAATCTGGCTAGGCTAAACTAGTTTGTAACTGCTAAGACATCCCCTATGGACAGAAGAAATGCAGGCACATGCCTGCAGTGATTCAGGCTAGAAGCTGGGGAGTGCTACAGCAGCCCTCCCTTCCCTTCTATAGTACTGAGCTGTCGGGGGGCATAGCCAGGTCCTGCCAGGATGCTCTGATTAGGGAGGAGTTCCCCCCATCCCTGATCAGCCCAGCAGGGAGTTGATAACACAGTGTTTATCACCCCTAACTCAGTTTATCTGCCCATTAAGAAAACAAAAGCCTCTCTCCATTAGTTTGAGCTCTTCTTAAACAACTTTTTCCAAGGAAGGAACAGAGGAACATTACCAGCTACCTATTGGTTAGCTACAAAAAGCCCTAAACGACACTGTCCTGTCTGCCTTTGTCCCCTCTCCCACAGCATGAACCATAGCCAGCATGTGGTATGCTAGCTAATGCTGAGAGGTTTCTGTGTAAGGCAGAGGGGAGAGGGGGATCCCTGCTTGAGGAGGGAGTTAGCGGGGCAGGG